AAAAAAAAAAAAAAAATCCTTAGTGTACTTTTCCTAATCGTAATACTCCAATATAACACTAAAAAAAAGGATGTGAGATTTTTCAAATCATTCCAAAAGAAGTACAAATATTCCTTAATAAATTTTGGGTAAATATATAATTTCAAACTGTGAGTGTTACGTTTGAAAAAATAAACTAAAAAGTTTTTTAGTATTTTTATATGTGTTACGTTTACGTTTGGGATTACATTGCGTTACGTTTGATAAAAGTATACTAAAGATTTTTTTTTTTTTTTTTTTTTTTTTGGGGTTACATTGGAGCATTACATTTGGAAAAGTACACTAAAGAGTTTCTTTTTAGTTTTACGTTTGGAAATAGTACATCAATGAATTTTTTAGTGTATTATATTGAAGTGTTACTTTATTGGAGTGTTATATTAGAGTATTACGTTTTTGTTCGTAATGTGAGATTTGTTTCAGAATGAAGAAAATTCCAAAACTTCTGTAGTACAAATTGCCCAAATGTGTAATTTTATATTTTGAGAAACCCACTTTTATCCTTAAAAAATTAAATCTACATATGTAAGTGACTATCCTTTTATATAATTTTCACTTTAATGGGACCTCTGGATTCATAAGAAAAAAAAGAGAATTAAATAGTTCACAAGATCATATTTTAAGATTTATTGGTGCTTCACCCTAAATATTAATATAAAAATATAGGATAATATGTGAAATATTTATGCTATTTTTATTCTTCTATCATACCTTCAATGCCCACTCATACGGTCTAACCAATGCAACTATTATAAAAAGATAAGACACAAAAAGTTAAAACTATTATAAAAGCTAATAACCAAACAAAAAAACAAAAAGAAATAAGAAAATTTACCACATACACCTCTACTAGTATTTATAAAAAAATAAAAAAGAAAAAAAGAAAAAAAAAGGGTAAATTACAAGTACACTCTTTGAGATTTACTTAAAAGATGAATTGCCTCTGTAGTTTAAAAAATTATAAATAATCCTTTATTGAAATTTTTTATTTAATAGAATTAACGGGAAAAAAATTCTTAATTACTCTCTTATACAATGATAAAACTACTCAAATTATCAATTGAGTCGATGATTTATTAATAATAAAAGGGGTCATTTGTTATGAAATTAGCGATTTCAAGAAACGGTATGTAATTTTTAGAACCACAAGAGACAAATCGTATTTTAAGCAAACCTAACGGAGTGTATTTGTAATTTATCACATATATGATTTAGTTTATTTCAATAATACAAACTACACGAGTATAATATGAGAAAAGAGGATTTGGTCAAACCCTTTCCTAATAAAACTTTAATGCATTAAAGACAACTACGAAAGGTTTTCTTTAAAAATCCAACAAATGCCACTATTACCAAAATATCTTTGGTGAGTAATTTAATATTTTAAACTTTAAAATATGTCAGTTTTTAATAAAATTAGTATTTTTAAAATTCTCTCAGCAAGATCTATCAAATAAGATTATTATGAAATTCTTTAAAAAAAATTACCATCAAAACTTAGGTGTTAAAAACAATAAAACAAGAACCAAAACTGGTAGCAAGAAGCAGAAGAGAAAGGAGAAAAGATCTACGTACACTACCAAGAAGGTCAACATCCCGATCAGATGGTGATCCATATAATTCAAACCATATGTAGGAGTCAACAGGATTGAAGCTGTGCAGAAACAAAGAAACAAACATGATCAAAATCTTCAATATGCAACATATATTGACCAACAGGGAGCTATCGGTTAAAATGGTTGAGTTCAAACCTTGGGGCAGCCACTGTGTGCAAATAATGCCGAAGGCCACGTCTATACCCAATCTATCTGTCCCAGACCCCATCCAATGGGGAGTAAATTGGGTGTATGTTTGTTTTCCTTTATGTAAAACATTGGCTCGAAGACATGGACGGAAACTCATATGCATAACTCATGCTCATCAATTTAAACTTAAGGTTCTATATCAAGTCAATTTATACAAATCTATATATTGTTTATTTGAACTTAATATATAAAGTAAAATTTTAATTAGCTCACAAAATAACAGTTACAGGAAAAGAAGAAGATTACATGCTGCTACAGTTGGTCCACGGATATAGAAATATAAGATGGGCACCACAAATTCCATGTATGACGCTAGAACTACATCCAAATTCCAAAGTTTGCACGTGATTTGTATCAGAACCTGATTGGGATTTGCATTGGGTGCTTTGTTGAATAATAGAGCAATTGGACTTTTATGGATTCAATTCAGGCGACTCATTGCAAAAGATTTGCATGTGTAAATTGCATATGAACTCTACCTTGAGTTTGCAGCTAAATTGAGGATCAGATGGAGTAACTGTCTCGTTTGAGTTCATTCTTTAATAAAATGTGAGCTGGCCACATATTATAAAAAACAAGGAGAACTTCCAGAAATTTCTCTAGCCATGTGTTCTGTTGGTTTTGACATCTCCTAATGTCCTTGAAAAAGTTGCAAGCATAAAAAGTGTTTGTGGACTTCTTCTTTTTTCAATAATATTTGTGAAAAAAAATTTAAAAATTCACCAAATTGAAAAAATATATTTAAAAAAAATGAAAATTTAATACATTTTCATATTTTGTTGTATTTAATGAATTTTTAAAATATTTTTGTATAAATTTTTTAGTTTGTAAGTATATTAAGATTAAGTAGATGTAAAAAAATTTAAAAAATGATTAAAATTACTTTTTAATTTGTATTTTTTTTACTTTTAGTGAATTTTTGTAATATTTTAATTAATTTTTTTTTCGATTTTAGATCCAATTAATTTAAATGTCTAAAAAGTACAAATTTTGTGAAACTTTTTTTTTTTAAATTCATTAAATACATTTTGATTAGATATTTAAAAAATTTGTACAAATTTTGTACTTTTTGAACAGATTTAAAAAAAAAATTAAAAATTATTAAAACGTTCAAAAAAACTAAAAATATAAATTAAAAACTCAAAAAATTATTTTTTAAAACTCCAAATCAAACAGAGTAAGTGGCAGTTTGGATTGGGTTCAAGCCCCTAACGTCCATATTTGTGGGCAATTCATATTCATAGAAATAAAACTCACTTTGGAAATATTATCCACCAGCCAGCGGTGTATTTGGTCTTCTGATCAACTGGGCAACAGAGGATTCATTACTCATAATTTTTAAGCCTCTACATCTAATAATCCAATCAATACCCCTCCATCAAATTCACAAAGAAATTGTTGTTGCCCAAAAAACTTGAAAGAGAAATTTCACATTAACTTGTCATCCCAAAAACGTGAAAAATAAATAAATAAACCTTGATTGAACCTCACTTGAATGTAACTTTAAAAACCATACACGAAGGCAGGCACTGTGTCGATCCAAGTGTGATTCTCTGCTCTTCTATATCCTTAGAAATGATCAATTTGATGTCGAAAATCGGGATGCGAAGCTGCCTCTAACGTATCATGCCAACTCTACGCCTCGCCTTCTTGTTTCTGAAGTGTCATTGATGTTGAAATTTCATGCAGACTATGGTGTATCTCATCCCAGTCGGACTTTTGTACATTATATGCTTTGGAAATGAATCGATAAGTATTCAAATTCAGTCTCATTTTAGATCTTAAAATACTTGTATCCATAGTCGGGGCTCGTCATCCCTTCTTCCCAATCACCCATTCGCCGACCACCAAAAACAACCTGTTGAATGCCCAAATATCTGCCAGAAAACCAAAAAGAAAAAAGGTGGTGAAGTTTAATTCATAGCTTTACATGTGCAATGGAGATTGAAGGGAGGGACGATGCCTACTCCAACTAATATGGATTTCGATTTGTCATATAAAAAAAAACCACCGTTGGTCCCTCTAGTTTGAGCGAAATTTCACTTTGGCTCTCTTTGTTTCAATTGGAACTTAGTTTCAGTTTTGTTGCAATTTGGTCCCTCTATTGCTTATTGTTCAAATTTTGACGGAGAAAATACAATGTGCAAAACTAGAAGAATCAAAAGTGGAATTCAAACAGAACTACAAAGGCCACCAATGGGGGAAAAAAAAAAAAAAATTATACTAGTGGTCCTTGTAATTTCATTTAATTCCATTTTGGTCCCTTTAATTTTGCATACAGTGTTTTTCCATCCAAAATGTTAACGACACATGACAGAAGGACAACATTGCAACAAAACTAAAAGTACGAGATTCAAATTAAAACTATAGGAACTAAAGTAACACTCCGCTTAAACTACGGGGACTAACAATTAATTTACCCCCAAAAAATATATATTGGAAAGGCTTACTCTGAGCTCAGCAAAGTCAGGCAGTTGAGGAGCACATCAATGGCAAAGAAATCGGATGTACCAAGGTCTACCCTGTTGTATATATAATCCGTATTAGTAAGCTTGTCTGTGAAAGAAATGCCAGGGAAGAATATCATGTAGCTATCAGCAAAGAATCCAAAATTACCAAACACGGCCCCAGTTGTCCTGAAACTCGACATCACTGATGTCATGAAATGATGATGGCATCACTTTAAAACCCTTATCTGCATCATAGAGAGGATATTGCACCATTGCTGCATTTGCCAACTGCAATGCAAACAATATTAGGTTCCATAATTTCGTTTGCACTAATAAAAGCCTACCTACTAAAACCAAAAACCATAATTTACAATGAAAAAATAATCACCACACTTCCAATCGGCATCAGCCAAAATGCAATTCTAACTCAGTATTTGGGCACAGTGTGCACACACCATCACAGTCTATGCCATATTCTAATATAAAATGAATCTTGTGCTTAGAGGCTACGGCACTGATCATTCTAGTGATGCCATGTGTGAAAATATTATGACATAAAGGCCTTGTTTGTTTTCCGGGTAAAACATGAAAATCTTTCTTTGGTAACTCTGACCGTATGCAGATACCACATGGAGCATATGCCCACCTTTCTGATGTTATCTGGGAAACTGAACAAAGCATTCTCAATTTAGACAAGTCAAATTGTTAAAACTTGATGGTTGTACACATTAATGTTTTCTACACTACAAACAATTACATAATTGACACAAAGCACATTTCTTCTTTATTCAAATTACTTGAGGTGTATTTCACCAAACAAGCATGATTGAAAGTAGCTGACTATTCTTAAAGGAATTCCAGAACAAGTCTATTTTCAGTATTGCACACAACATTTTGTCATGCATTATCAGTTAAGTGACAGAACTTCTTTTTTTTAATTTTGATATGTAAATAACTCTATAATTGATGAAATTAAGCATGAAAAGAGCCAATATTGCAACCAACTTCCCAAACTTCCTAAATCATGCCAAAGTTCTGGAGATACAGACAGGCACTCACCATGTGGTGGAAGAACCCCTGCTTATACTTGGTTTTAAAAATAAGTGTAAGCAATGTGAGTGAGGTCGGTTGTGGACCTCTAGGAAGATGGCGGGCACTTCAATGATTGGGAATTGCAGGAGGCAGATCAGAAGAGAACCATTGAAACCATAGAGGGAGACAGCATGGCAGTGAGTGAGAGACCCTAGTCACTGGAGTAAAGAAGATGATTAGAGTTGTGTGTCCTGTTTACATGCATGGATACCCCTTTATATAAGGTCCAAAACTGTTGGAGACTAGCTCACCTACGAACTGGTGGCAGACTTCCCTTGGCCTGACAGAGCAGAGGTATCAGGTCTACTACGTCCCATGATTCAGACCTTGGGGGTCATATCATGGGAATTTCAGAGTTGGGTATAATACCTTGGATGGTGTATCATGACATGACGTAAGTGGTAGGCATATTTATCCCAAAAAAAAAAGTGGTAGCCATGATACCTCTCCCAAGCGGAAGTGGCTGAGCATCACTCCCTGTTTGGGTGCCTTATGGAAATAAGCATGAGGGGCCATGGCTTGGCCAGAGCTCATCCTAGCCAAGCTGTAGAGTGCCGCGTACTTTGACTCATCACTAAGTGCTTTGACCTGCAGATAGGGCGCCAAGCAGCTAGTGGATGGAGTTACCATACTTGGTGGCTGATATACCCCCGCTTAGGCCAAGCACATAAACCGCAATGTGGCACCCCTGAGGGCTTGCCAAGTGGAAAGGGTGAAGAACCTGACATGGGAGATGGCATGACACCCATGGGCCCCCCCCAGAGCTATACAATAATACAACTCTGGTCTCAAACATTGAAGAAATCATCTGATATTGCCGGTGTTGCTCGGCCTTGTTTGTCAATAGGTTAAAATAGCCAAAAAGTCAAAAAGTCACTATAAATTGTCACATCATTCTCTTTGTTTTTTTGCATATTTTTTCATAAAAAACTAAAAAGGTAACTAATAGCCAATTCCCAAACGATACGTAAATATCACTCTTCTCAGACGACCACTTACAACAGCAAATATACAGCTACACATGGTTAAACAATACAGAATCTGTTTGATGAGCCCCTAAGAAAGTTCCCACATAAAGACCAAATCAGTTAGGCAAGCACTTTATCTCACTAACAACCAGAATGGACATGTGCTTCCCCTCAAAACACGAACATTCCCCTCTTCCCATTTTCCTCAAACAAGAATCAGGTTAAAATACAAATCATCATTTGTGGAAATTTGTCACTACCAGTGGCTTCCAAACTTGTATCTTCTTTTTTGTTTTTCTTTTTTCTTTAAATAAAATAAATAGCTACCTTAACTTTACTAACCAAAAATAATAAAAATAACTTCATTTAATTTTTAGCAGAAGACAACATATCTTGCAATTCCAATTGTCAAATGCAGTCAAAGCATGCATGTTATGCTGTTCTAATAGTGCAGCTTCTTCCTCCAATTATTTATTATATTGGGAATTTTAATTGAAGATAAAATTTCTTATTGGGCAAAAGAAAGAAAGTACAGTGAACATTTGACATAGAAACTTGAAACCACCATAGCCTGCCTGCCTGATAACTACCAAAACCACAAGACATGAAACAACGTCAACTTATTTATTTTTATTTTTTTTATAAATAAAGATTTATTACAACGGGCATCAAGAAGATGCCAAACCAATGCAAAAGGGGCCCCAGAATGGGAAAAGACACCTAACCAATCAAAACATCTACAAAATCCAGGAAAGCAAACAAGTCCGGAAACACCCTCCCAGACACCCAACTTATATAGAACCTTAAGAAATCTACTCTCTAACCAATGTCAACTTATCAAAGACAACACGCCCAACCATAAGCATAGCAACCAAACATTTGAGAGTGAAAAAGATGAGACTTTAAGAATCATGACCAAACCTGCAGATTAGAAGAATTAAAGGCACCCAAGCGCCCCATGGCATACCATGACTGAATAACCTGGCATATCACTCAAATTGTGTTAAAAAAATTACCATCAAAACTTAGGTGTTAAAAACAATAAAACAAGAACCAAAACTGGTAGCAAGAAGCAGAAGAGAAAGGAGAAAAGATCTACGTACACTACCAAGAAGGTCAACATCCCGATCAGATGGTGATCCATATAATTCAAACCATATGTAGGAGTCAACAGGATTGAAGCTGTGCAGAAACAAAGAAACAAACATGATCAAAATCTTCAATATGCAACATATATTGACCAACAGGGAGCTATTGGTTAAAATGGTTGTGAGTTCAAACCTTGGGGCAGCCACTGTGTGCAAATAATGCCGAAGGCCACGTCTATACCCAATCTATCTGTCCCAGACCCCATCCAATGGGGAGTAAATTGGGTGTATGTTTGTTTTCCTTTATGTAAAACATTGGCTCGAAGACATGGACGGAAACTCATATGCATAACTCATGCTCATCAATTTAAACTTAAGGTTCTATATCAAGTCAATTTATACAAATCTATATATTGTTTATTTGAACTTAATATATAAAGTAAAATTTTAATTAGCTCACAAAATAACAGTTACAGGAAAAGAAGAAGATTACATGCTGCTACAGTTGGTCCACGGATATAGAAATATAAGATGGGCACCACAAATTCCATGTATGACGCTAGAACTACATCCAAATTCCAAAGTTTGCACGTGATTTGTATCAGAACCTGATTGGGATTTGCATTGGGTGCTTTGTTGAATAATAGAGCAATTGGACTTTTATGGATTCAATTCAGGCGACTCATTGCAAAAGATTTGCATGTGTAAATTGCATATGAACTCTACCTTGAGTTTGCAGCTAAATTGAGGATCAGATGGAGTAACTGTCTCGTTTGAGTTCATTCTTTAATAAAATGTGAGCTGGCCACATATTATAAAAAACAAGGAGAACTTCCAGAAATTTCTCTAGCCATGTGTTCTGTTGGTTTTGACATCTCCTAATGTCCTTGAAAAAGTTGCAAGCATAAAAAGTGTTTGTGGACTTCTTCTTTTTTCAGATTTGTAAAAGTGCTCATAGCCTGGTCATCAATCAACTTCAAACATAAGTTGCCTTCTAAACATCAAATTTAATTCAAATATGCTAACTAAATATCAAATTTAATTCAAATATGCTAACCTGGTTGGGACCTAAATCTAACAACTTCAAGTCCATTCAGTCAGATATATTCAATTTGTTCTTTATTGGATGATGGACCTTGAACAGAGGTAATTTGAGTTAGGTGCAAAATGTGTGCTCTCTAGGGATGTGAATTCATAATTAGGTAGCATTCTTAGACTGATAATGCAAAGGGCTGGACACCGAAGGCAAATCATCTTCTTTGGGGGTATTAACAATCAAACAAACGAAAAGACATCTAATACAGCAAAAGAATGCTAGTTTTTCATACCTCCTTTGAATTACAGGGAGAGTGAGAAGAAAAAACTAAAATTAATAATAAAATTCCTCATAGACAGAGCTCAAACATATAGAAGAGTTCATATATTAATCTAGTCTTTTCAAGAGGCATATAACATTATGCACCTAGTTGTATCAATATGGCACGCATATAATTGAGAGACCTAGTACTAGTGAGAAAATCTTGATTTTGGACTAGGGGGTTGTTTGATTATTGATAACCCCACTAACCCAGATTATTTGCAGTAGAAGTTCCATTATCTGAGTTTGTTAAGTAAATTAAGCATTATTATATATAAAATGAAACTAACTAAAAAAAATTAAATTTTAAGTCAAAGAACTCACTCCTTATAAATGCTGGAAATATCGACGGAATATGCTTTTAAACTTAAATCTTAATTAAAAATAAAAAAAAAAAATAGTTCTTGGAGGTAGTGGCACTACTTATTTACCAAATACAATTTTTTAACACTTCTTTTTTAGTTTTACCAAATAGCTCCTTTTTTTTTTTTTTTTTTGGACAGTGCCAAATAGCTCCTTGCTTGCTTTCAATACCAAAGCCAATCAACGACTATAGAATTAAACAATCATGGTTTTCTCCCCTTTTTTATATTTAAAATTTAAATTTCCCCATTTCATACGTACAAATACGACAAACAATAAAATGCAGTTGTGAGGGATCTGTGTACCATTGTGGCAACATACTATCCAAGTACCATATACGGTATGCATTTCAATTCATAGCCCATATTTATTGTATTTTATTCAAGGATCAACCAACTGATGCATAACATATTTGGATCAACAATCTGAAAACAAACTAAGCAAGACATAATTATCTCAAATGATACTTCAAACAAATTTAGCATCTTAATAGGGAAAACTACTTCATCTTAATTTGATCAATATTCATGTAATCGATTTCCTTGAAAGAGAAAGAGGTATAAAAATATGTAAAAGGAAACTTACTCCCTAAAGCTGACTTTGAAAGCAAGGACAGAACCCGTTTTGGACTTGCGAAAATCTCGACCCTTCTTTCGAACCCTTTCTTCAACCTATTAAAAGTTAAACGAGCACATTATAGATTTTCCACACAACACAATACATAGATGAGTCTGTGCTTCAACTTCATGATAACTGTTTTGCAATTTATGGGTAGTTCTTGAAAATGCTCATGTCACATAGAGTTAAATCCGACTGCTATTTAAGCTCACAAAATCATGCCATCTCAACATAACGGAAGGCATTCTTACCCACTATCTATCGAACACATTTAGTAGGAAAAATTGTAACACATCAGAAAGCTACATCAAGTTCTAAGCATCCAACTTAAACATTCTTTCTTAAACTTTCATAAAGCTTTTTAACTATCCAATACATAAATTCTTCTTTGCTCAAAAATATAAAACTTGATTGGCTAAATTGGACTTGTGATACACAGCCCAGTCTTCATATATTAAGATGCTGTTAATGTATTGTGGCCCTAATAAACAGAACAATATAAAATGACAGTTAAAAAAGGACACTCAGGCTATAAGTCCAGTTTCAAAACTTTTGGGGCAATAGCTCCAAGTTTTTTTATTTTTATGTATTTTCTTGTTTTGTTCCTCTCTTCAAACTCAAGTTGGTTAGTTTCTATCCTCCTTGAGTTTGCGGGGGGCTGTTAGAATTTACCACTCACCTACTACCTCCACTATCTTTCTCCACACCCACCACCTCCACTATCACACACTCCACTACCATCTTCTCCTCTATATATAGGAATTGTAATATACAGAATATTAACAATCTTGTAAGATATCAAACAATCCATCAATAATAATACAGTATTTTTTCACAGAAAACATGAACCAAACTCATATGCATAACTCATGCTCATCAATTTAAACTTAAGGTTCTATATCAAGTCAATTTATACAAATCTATGTATTGTTTATTTGAACTTAATATATACTGTAAAATTTTAATTAGCTCACAAAATAACAGTAACAGGAAAAGAAGAAGATTACGTGCTGCTACAGTTGGTCCACGGATATAGAAATATAAGACGGGCACAACAAATTCCATGTATGACTCTAGAACTTCGTCCAAATTCCAAAGTTTGCACGTGATTTATATCAGAACCTGATTGGGATTTGCATTAGGTGCTTTGCTGAATAATAGAGCAATTGGACTTCTATGGATTCAATTCAGGCGACTCATTGCAAAAGATTTGCATATGAACTCTACCTTGAGTTTGCAGCTAAATTGAGGATCAGATGGAGTAACTGTCTCATTTTAGTTCATTCTTTAATAAAATGTGCGCTGGCCATTTATTATAAAAAACAGGGAGAACTCCCAGAAATTTCTCTAGCCGTGTGTTCTGTTGGTTTTGACATCTCCTAATGTCCTTGAAAAAGTTGCAAGCATAAAAAGTGTTTGTGGACTTCTTCTTTTTTTCCAGATTTGCACAAGTGCTCATAGCCTGGTCATCAATCAACTTCAAACACAAGTTGCCTTCTAAATATCAAATTTAATTCAAATATGCTAACCTGGTTAGGACCTAAATCTAACAACTTCAAGTCCATTCAGTCAGATATATTCAATTTGTTCTTTCATTGGATGATGGACCTTGAACAGAGCTAATTTGAGTTCTGTGCAAAATGTGTGCACTCTAGGGATGTGAATTCATAATTAGGTAGCATTCTTAGACTGGTAATGCAAAGGGCTGGAAGACAAATCATCTTCTTTGGGGGTATTAATAATCAAACAAACGAAAAGGCATCTAATACAACAAAAGAATGCTAGTTTTTCATACCTCCTTTGAATTACAGGGAGAGTGAGAAGAAAAAACTAAAAATAATAATAAAATCCCTCATAGACAGAGCTCAAACATATAGAAGAGTTCATATATTAATCTAGTCTTTTCAAGCGGCATATAACATTATGCACCTAGTTGTATCAATATGGCACACATATAATTGAGAGACCTAGTACCAGTGAGAAAATCTTGATTTTGGACTTGGGGGTTGTTTGATTATTGATAGCCCCACTAACCCAGATTATTTGTAGTAGAAGTTCTATTATCTGAGTTTGTTAAGTAAATTAAGCATTATTATATATAAAATGAAACTAACTAAAAAAAATTAAATTTTAAGTCAAAGAACTCACTCATTATAAATGCTGGAAATATCAACGGAATATGCTTTTAAATTTAAATCTTAATTAAAAATAAAAAATAGTTCTTGGAGGTACTGGCACTACTTATTTACTAAATACAATTTTTTAACACTTTTTTTTTAGTTTTACCAAATAGCTCCCTCTTTCTTTCTTTTTTTGGACAGTGCCAAATAGCTCCTTGCTTGCTTTCAATACCAAAGCCAATCAACGACTATAGAATTAAACAATCATGGTTTTCTCCCCTTTTTTATATTTAAAATTTAAATTTCCCCATTTCATACGTACAAATACGACAAACAATAAAATGCAGTTGTGAGGGATCTGTGTACCATTGTGGCCACATACTATCCAAGTACCATATACGGTATGCATTTCAATTCATAGCCCATATTTATTGTATTTTATTCATGGATCAACCAACTGATGCATAACATATTTGGATCAACAATCTGAAAACAAACTAAGCAAGACATAATTATCTCAAATGATACTTCAAACAAATTTAGCATCTTAATAGGGAAAACTACTTCATCTTTATTTGATAAATATTCATGTAAACGATTTCCTTGAAAGAGAAAGAGGTATAAAAATATGTAAAAGTAAACTTACTCCCTAAAGCTGACTTTGAAAGCAAGGACGGAACCCATTTTGGACTTGCGAAAATCTCGACCCGTCTTTCGAACCCTTTCTTCAACCTATTAAAAGTTAAACGAGCACATTATAGATTTTCCACACAACACAATACATAGATGAGTCTGTGCTTCAACTTCATGATAACTGTTTTGCAATTTATGGGTAGTTCTTGAAAATGCTCATGTCACATAGAGTTAAATCCGACTGCTATTTAAGCTCACAAAATCATGCCATCTCAACATAACGGAAGGCATTCTTACCCACTATCTATCGAACACATTTAGTAGGAAAAATTGTAACACATCAGAAAGCTACATCAAGTTCTAAGCATCCAACTTAAACATTCTTTCTTAAACTTTCATAAAGCTTTTTAACTATCCAATACATAAATTCTTCTTTGCTCAAAAATATAAAACTTGATTGGCTAAATTGGACTTGTGATACACAGCCCAGTCTTCATATATTAAGATGCTGTTAATGTATTGTGGCCCTAATAAACAGAACAATATAAAATGACAGTTAAAAAAGGACACTCAGGCTATAAGTCCAGTTTCAAAACTTTTGGGGCAATAGCTCCAAGTCACTTGTCTATCCACGCCACCTATATGTCTAAGTGTCATCTATCTATCTGTCCACGTATCACCTCTCTACCCACCTAATATATCTATTTGTCCACCTAATCTGTCCATTTGTCCATATCACCACGACCACTTGTCACCGCTGCTGGCAACTTTTCTGGCATCTGACGGTGGTTCAGTGGGTAAAAATGAAAAAAAAAAAAAAAAAACTTCCTTCAAAAAAATAATTTATAACTCCTAGTTGAGTCAAAACACAATTTTTTCTAGCATGTTTAAATTTTATCTGCCTTGAATAATTTTCTATGTGATTTTCATTTTTCTCTGGATTTCTCTAATTATCCCAAAAAAAAAAAAAAGGCGAGAGTGGAGGAGGCATTACCCTTTGCTTCATGAGTTCAGGGTTCCCAATGCTATCACCAAGAACACTTCGAAGCTCTTCATCGTTTTTGCAAGCATCTTCCAACACTCTACACAAAACACAATTAAATTAAAACACACACACCAAGCAATCATACGATAACCAACACTCAGATTTCAAACAATATAATCAAAAAAACAAAAACAATAAAAGGGGGGGGGGGGGGCCACAAACCCCTTTCCCCCCCCCGCGCCATAGGAGACGGCTTAGGTGGTTTGCATGGTCTATAATCATGCTCACCATGATATAGGTATAATAACCCCCCTCAAACTCAAATAACTGTGAAGATAGAAACCAACTTGAGGTAGAAGCAGAGGAAAAGATAGAGTGGAGGAAAAAAAAAGTATTGGGAGTTTTAAAAAATAATAAAATGATAGAGATATTTGGGGTTGGAATAAACAACGGACAAAAGGAAGAGATCACCACGAATCGATACTAATAAAAAAATATGACAGTGGAATAGGTTGAGGTCCTGTGGGCGACCAAGGCAAGGTTGCTGCCCGCCGGTAAGGCGAAGAACACTAAGAGCTTAACCTATAACTCTAATACCATATTAGAATAGTAGAGAGAGAGAGAGAAAATAATATGTATTGTATTGAATGAATGAATGTATTGAATGGAAGACTTGTGTATATAGGCTAAGAAAGAGTATTCGACTAGAAATCTAACTATGAGAAAGAGTATCATATAAGAGACCTAACTATAGTAATATCTAATATATCTAGGAAATCAATACCTAATAAATGTGGAAATATATACCATATATACATTAACATGGTGAAAACAAAAATTAAACAATGCAAAGCATATTGTCTAAATTATTAATTTAAATATATATTTTTAATATCATTAAGAATTATTAATTATTTAATTATTTAAAAATTTAAAAGAAAAAGATGTAACTTTTAAATTAAAAAGACAAACAAATAATTAAATTTAAAATTTACTTTTATATTTTAAAATATGAAAAAAGATATATTTGTATTAAATAATATTAAAGTCGGAGTTTAGATTTTTTTTTATTTTGTTTTTAAATGGACTCAAGAAAAAAGGATAAGTGCAATCCGAACTTAAAAAATTACTTCAAATAATTATGTAATACGGATCAAACTTGAGCATGTTCAAATTCAGTTATAGGAAAATTAGTCTAAGGTCTCTCTCTCATTTTTAGTAATGGAAAATATCTACAATATTATTTTATGATGTCTAAGGTCCCTCAACCCCCGACACCCATATATCACAGAGAAATTTGGTCCCTCAAATCAAACAGTCTCTCCCTCTCTCACTACTCTTCTCTCTTCGATGAACTCCACCTTTATTGCCGGAGTTCATCGTCGCCATTGTCTTCTCCAACTCTCTCTCCTCCGTCAAACGAAACTCAAAGCATCCTAAAAGAGGAAGAGCAATGAAGAAAATGCTGGTCTCCAGTGGCGCCGCCATTAGTCTCTGAATTTCTTTACTGAATTGAAACAATTCAACTCTTGTTTCTTCAGTTTTCTCTCCGCAACTCGCAGATCCAATTTCAGTACCAAAAATTCACATGGAAATCCGCCGAAGATTGACGAGGATCTTCACAGCCGTCACCATCAAGGCCAATGATGGAAGTGATCTTCACAACAGTAGTCATGTTGATTCATCAAAGAATTGGATATCCAGCAAAGCTGTTGTTATCGTTCTGTTAATACGTGTTATTCTTATAACTCTAGCATTTATTGTTTCTATTAGAGTATGTCTTGCGAGTGTTGGCTGATAATATAGTTTGTATAATCTAATCTATGAACATGGAATACACAAATTGCATCTTGACATCATTGATTGAACTATTTTTGGGACAAACGTGATCTTAGTTTACTAAATCACTAAAAATCTGTAATTTATTGTAGGGTGTATTCACAAGGCTTCATTTTTATTCAAAAGCAAAAGAGAAGTAATAATTATAAGCAAACCAGAGAATTTGGGAAAGATGAGGAATGAAGTTAGAAAAGAAGAGAGAACTGCAATTTTCTCTAGTTTGATCAATTTTCTCTAGTTGAGTCAAAACACAATTTTTTCTAGCATGTTTAAATTTTATCTGCCTTGAATAATTTTCTATGTGATTTTCATTTTTCTCTGGATTTCTCTGGTTTGAATTCAGAGAAATTCTAGAATTTCTCTGGAAAATAAGATAGAATTGCAATTTTCTCTAGATGAGTCAAAAAATAATTTTCTTTGGCATGTTTAATTTTCTTTGGATTTCTCTAGTTTAGAATTTCTCTGAAAGAGAAGAGAGAACTGCAATTTTCTCTAGTTGAGACAAAACACAATTTTCTCTACCTTGAATAATTTTCTCTGTGATGTTAGAATCCCATGACAAAATGGGACAAAAGATAAATTTTCAAGTGCATTTTGTTGAGTGATAGAAGTTAGAATCCTGTTATTGAAGTATGATCAATATTAGTTGTGAGTCATTTTTTAAAAAATGTGAATTAGATTGTCATAATGTTCGTATTTACCTCCACAATTGGTACTAAATTTCGAGTTGTAGGTTGCAAAATTTTAAACTCAGAGAAATTTCAATTTTCTCTGGTTTGAAACCACCACTCAAACCACCACTGCATTCATCAAAGGCAGCGGTGGAGATATCAAAGATGAATTGTGGGAAAAGAGTACTAAAAGCTTGAAGATATTTGTAAACCAGAGAAAATAGTGAAGAGATTTGAATAATAATGAAGCCTTGTGAATTTTTCTCTGGATTACCCTTGAATTTTCTTTAAATTTGACAAATTTCTCTGAATTACCCTTGAATTTTCTCTGAATTTGGCAATTTTCTCTGGATTATTCTTAAATTTTCTCTGGATTTGGCAATTTTCTCTGGATTATTCTTAAATTTTCTCTGGATTTGGCAATTTTCTCTAGATCGAATTTTTTCTAGATCAATGTTGAGGGACCTTAGACATTATGAAAATATTGAATGTCCTTATAGTATAAAATTTTAATACTAGGGACCTTAAAAAAAATTTCCATTATTATTATTATTATTATTATTATTATTATTATTATTATTATTATATTGTGACTTAGTGGGGCTCTATACACTAAAATCCCTCTTTGTTGTTCCTCTTGGCTGACTTAAACGCTAGAAAGAGAGAGGGGAGTCGGCTAGAGAGAGGGAAAAGAGGAGAGTTTGGTGTTTGGCTCAAATTTGTGAAGAATTGGAGAATTAAACTCAAGAAATTACTATAGTTTGGAAGATTGAGCCTCTAGGTAAGCATTTGGTCTTGAATTCATAAGTTTGAAATTGTGATCTTGTAAGTTCAAGGGTTGTTTGCAAAAAAAAAAAAAACTTTAAAAAATTCACTAAGTATAAAAAATCTTTTAAAAAATAGGAAAATTCAGTATATTTTTTGCATTTTTATGTATTTATTAATTTTTTAAAATATTTTTTCACAAATATTTTACTATTTAAATATATCTAAGTAAGGTACATCTAAAAAAGTAAAAAAAAATCTCAAAATTTAAAAAATATTTACTAAAAATAAAAAAATAAGAAAAATAAAAAATTCAATTTTTAAAAAACTGAAACAACACATTAAATATAGTTTTTAAAAAAAAAATTAAAAAAAACTTACTGTTAACCCTCTAAAACATGCCTTTGTTTCCTTTGTTTTTAGCAATATTACCATCTAAAAAAAAAAAATTAGTCTAAAGTCCCTCTCTCACTTTTAATAATGTATAAGATCCACAATATTATTTTATGATATATAAAATCCCTCAATTTGACACTCTCAAATCAAACTTCTTTCTCTCTCTTTGTCTTTCCTATTTCAACTCTCTCTCTCTCTCTTACTTACCCAAAAAAAAACTCTCTCTCTCTCTCTCTAAATCCAAACCTCACTTCACTCCCTTCAATGGTCACTCTAGATTTCGCCAGAGTTTATCATCGTCGTCGTCTTCTCCAACTCTCTCTCCTCCATCAAGTGAAGCTCAAAGCATCCTTATCCATGTACGATTTCATCGATATCGAAATCAAAGTGTGCCGCGACGAGAAGACAACCCAACGGTGGAAGTGAACGACGACACCATTTATCAGAAACAGAGCCGTTTATGAATGGTGGTTTGGAGTTGAGATCGTAGTCCAAAAGCCTTTGAATATCAATATCCATTGGCAACACCAGTAGTCAAACAAGCCCTAGAAATTCACGAAGATATATACATGTATATATAGATATAGAGAGAAGGAGACAAGGTGTTGGTTATCATAGTGGAGCTTTAGAGAGTTGATTATAAATCAAAGCTTAGGTATTGTAATAGTTATCACTCTCCCAATATGAATCAAAATCAACAACAATTTTTTTAATTATCACTCTGACTCTACCAATTTGAAATGAATCGAAAGGTTGTCTTGGAAAACACACACTTGAAAAGTGTGAGAACCTGAAAGTTGACTCAAATTTGATTAAAAACTTTATTTGCTTTGGTATGGACTACGTCAGTGACAAACTCATATTCAAGCATAAATATTCTCTGGAAAGTCTAGAGAAATCCAAAGAAATTTTCTAGATCGATCGATAGAGAAGCGAGGCTAGCAGCAGCAGCGGTAGCAGTGGAACCAACAGAGAGCGAAAGCTTTGTTGTTGATGTTGGCCATCGTAGAAGCTCTTGCGGTTATTGTAGATCCGGTGCTCACTCTAGTATTTCTCACAGTCACTTTCTCCAATTCTCTTTCTATTTCTATTTCTATTAATGTGTTTTTCTAGATTGATCTATTTCTTTTTAGGCACAACAATGTTTGTGTTGAAATTGAAACATTGAATGAGCTATTTTTCTCTTCTTTTTGCTCGTTTGTTCATCTTGAGCTGTTTCATTAAATTATTGACACAAAAAGGTAGCTTTTTGGTGGGTTTGTGAAGGATGTTATTTTGAAGGACGCAATTAAGGCATATTCACAAACACATAATTGGAAATGATACACATAAGTTGAATTTTTCTAATTTGAACTTAAGCTACTATGCTTATTTGAAAATAATAAATATTTTTTCCCTATCAATTCTAAGTTTATCTTGGTCACTCAATTATTTGTTTTGCT